ACACACACACACACACACAAACACATACAAACAAACACACACATACGCTTTATCTCTGTCTCTCTGTCTCTCTCTCTCTGTCTGTCTGTGTGTGTGTGTGTGTATGTGTGTGTCTGCGTGTCTGTTTGTCTGTTTGTTAACAATTAGTGTACAGCTTCAGAAAATTTCCCACTTAGACAAAAAAAACATCATCTATAAAATGTTTTTTTTTAAATCTTGTCACTCCTGTATAGACATTATTAACTTGCTTGAATTCTAAAAAACTGATTCTCACTTGTTGCCACCAGTGCAAGTATACATGAGACGTTTCGGGAGATGTAATTTCAACATGGGCTTTTACTCTTTTTTTAAGGGAAAAGTTGTGTCATCTTTGTTTCAGTCTCTGCTGAATGAACATTTGTGTCGTGTGGTGGAATGTGCCACTCGTTGAAATAATGAACTCGAAGAAACCGAACTTTTCCCACCCGTTGGGCAATTTTTATCAACTTTTTAATTTTAATCTTGACACCTTTTATATCAATAAAAAAATGTAATCCAGTCTGAATTTTTAATTGAAAAATGTGGATAAAAAAGTAAATTTGCTGTTTCCAAGTACACTCACGCTTTGAAAATCACCAAACTTTGGGGCCATATTCTCGCTAATTTCACCTCTGACACCAGACAAGCCTCGTCATATTCAGTTGTAAATATTTTGACTCTACCTACTCATGATAGGTTGGTAATCTTTACATCTAAAGAAAGCAAGTGAACAGCATTTAAGATGGTACCAATAATTCCTGATGCCCAAAAATTGACGAGCACCCTATTCCACCGCGTATTAACACATTTTACCTTGTCAATACAAACGTCGATGGAAATTAATGTCTCCGCAAATAAAGAGGTTAACGAAGCAATAATGTAGGTTTAATTAATTCAGTTGGTTCCCAGAAAGCTGAGTGGGTTTATTAGATTGGCAGTTTGTTTGCTAACAGTACACGATAGATACAAGTGTGATCTTTAGATTAACAAAATACATCTGAAGCAATCATGTAGTTGTCTTGAATTCTTTTTTTTTTAAAATAAATTTTAAAAAATAAAATATAATAATAATAATAATAATAATATATATAACATTTATATACCGCATTTCCAAAAAAGTAGCTAAATGCGCTTTACATTGGAATACCCATTTTCCAAAAACCTTTCTTGCTACTTCCTTTCTTCTCATGCAATATACATTAATGCACACACACACACACACACACACACACACACACACACACACACACACACACACACACACACACACACACACACACACACACACACACACACACACACACACACACACACTGACTATTTTCATCCAGACATACGAACAGATCAACTATAATGAAAAATAACGTTAAAAGCTTATGAAGGATAGGCCTGTAGGAACAGAAAATGTTTAAGATGTCTTTTGAAGCTATCAAGTGTTTTTATTTGTCTTAGTTTCATGGGTAATCTGTTCCACATAAATGGACCAAGATATGAGAAAGATCTCTCTTCATATGATTTGTATGATTTTACAGGTGTCACAAGTAGGGTGTTATCGTTTGATGATCTTAGGTATCTCCCTGGCTTATAAATACTGATAAGTTCTTGTAGACAAAAAGGAGCAGTTTTATTTACACATTTGAAACACATGACGCAGATTTTAAATATTATTCTTTCTTTTACAGGGAGCCAATGCAGTTCTTTTAATAATGGAGTGACATGGTCTCGTTTTTTAGATCTTGTTATCAGTCTAGCGGCATTGTTTTGAATTACTTGTAAACGATTCAAATATTGTTGTTCAGACCTGCTAGGAGTGAGTTACAATAGTCTAATCTAGATAGGATAAGAGATGTTACCAGTGTTTTTGTGGTCTCTTCGTTTAAGTACTTTCGAACTAGGCCTATCCTTCTCAACTGAAAATAAAGGGATTTGGACAGAGATCCTACAAACGAGCCCATTGATAAGTGGTGGTCAATATATACACCGAGAATCCTGACAACTTCTTTACTAGATGTCATATGCCCATATAAATCAAAGTTGACACTTTCCAGATCTTTATTTGATCGTGGATTTTTAAATAAGAATGATGTCTGTCTTTTCTTTGTTTAGTTTCAATTTGTTTATTGTCATCCACTTTTTAATTTCATGAAAACATTGTTTAGTGATAGAAATCATGTTTGGCAGATCTTGAATGTTGCCATTAACATACGCTTGGGAATCATCGGCATAAAAAAGATAATTCAATCCATGATTTTTTTTTTATGCTTGGTAAGGGCTGTGTATGTAGTGTAAAGAGCACTGATCCAAGAACGGACCCCTGTGGAACTCCATAATCGAGCCTGACCTGGTTTGAAAAGCTATTTTTAATTTGCACTGACTGAACTCTTTCTAGTAAATGTGACTTAAACCATGAAAGCACAGTACCCGATAAGCCAAATGAGCGCTCAAATCTTGTGAGTAGAATAGCATGGTCAATTGTGTCAAAAGCTGCGGACAGATCCAAAAGAGTTAAAAGACAGATGTTTTTGCTATCAACGGAATCCAATAAATCAGACGTTACTTTTAAAAGCACAGTTTCGGTACTATGGTGAGTTTTATAGGCAGATTGGTAAATTTCCTCAAGACCATTTTTTCTCATGTGAGACAAAACTTGACTTAAAACAATCTTCTCTAGAATTTTTTAGACAAATTGCAAATTCGAAACTGGTCGATAGTTTTTTAATTCATTTTTATCAAGCCCGGG